TTTTTTTTTGGGCCGTGGCCTGCGCGTTACATCGTACTCTGAATGCGCTTTCGTGGTTTCTCAGCGCCTCTTTGACGTGGCGCGCCTCTCATTTGAGGAAGCAATTGTTCCAGTCACCTCCGGCCTGGGCGAAGCTCTGACTCTCGACGAAATCCTCGATCTTGCAGAGACCTGCAGAGGCGTGGAGCCGACCCTGTGAGCGGGAGTTGCATTCTTTGAGCCCGGAGAGAGGGATGACAGCGTCATTGAGCAGCACGCGGACGTACTTGCTCTTCTTGTTCTCGCATTTCAGTCGCTCGACGATGATACGAGCCCCCATCGGCACGATATGGGCCGAATTCCATAGTCGATCTTCCCTGGGATAGCTGGAAGGGCTGATCTGATCTTTGAGCAGGCCCAGGACTGCGATGGCGGACGCGATCTGCGTGTCGTGGGTAAAGTCCAGGTAAACGGGAAGACCGAGTGGGAAGGTCGCAGTGCTTTCGTCCAGAGTGGCGTTGGTCGTCGTGTGGTCTTTGACGCGCGTCTCGGTGAGTCGCGCAAGCAGCTCGTTGACCCACCCAACGCTCCAAGCCCGACCCAGGGGTCCGCCATAACCCGCGTTCTCGTACTGCTGCAGGTCCTGTCCGTACGAGTAGAGCTCCCACTCGCGCAGGGTGAAGATGGCACAGAAGGGCGAAAGGCGACCGAGATAGGCCGACTGGAAGGGACAAGCGTTCTGCATCGCCTGTACATCGGACGTGGTCAGATTGAGGTTGGGCAGGGCTCGCTGGAGCCTCGAGACGACCTTCGGAAGGTAGACGCTGTTCCACGCCGCAAAGGCCTTATCCGATGAGGTGTCGTTGGCGGAGTAGGGGCACGTTCCCACCGCAAGTGAGTCGTTGTAGGTCGACAAGCTGTCAGGAAGAGTCAGCAAGGGAGCCGCCAGACGTTCGCGCCAATTGAGTCCCAAGAAGCCCTCCGAGAAGGCCCAACTGGTCACATTGACCCTGCTCTGATCCGTTGTCCGGGCGAAGACGGGCAAGGATTGGTTGACGGGCGCGTTGTACCAATCTTTTTTGCCCAGCAAATGGCCATATCGGTTTCCAAAGCGGTAGCCGCTCGAGTGCGCATCCTGCTCTCCATACGGAGTAAGCAGTTCTGGCGTTACAGCGCTGTAAGTTTCGTTGAGCTTGGCGAGAAACTCGAGCTCGGGGTGGAGCTGTCCATCGCCTAGGCTGAACTTCAAGTTGGCATTGTCTGCGGTGCTGGCATTGACGAGCTTTGAGATCATGGTTGCGATTCCCGAACCCACTCCTTTCGAAGGACCGCGAAAGTCATGTCGCATAAAGAGATTGACCTGATCGACCTCGCAGCCCGGGAAGGACTTGTCGGAAATGTCGTAGCGCCCAACATCGCCGCCAGGAACGTAGAAGGACCAGGCACCAAAATTAGTGAGGATGTTTGGGTCCACCGGCTCACCATGTTGAGTGCTCGGCCACAATGAGGAGCCGTAGCCCAGCGTACTGGCGAGCGCCAGAAGTGCTGATTTTAGCTGTTTCATGTTGCTGTGTGAAGGGCGCCGAAGCTGTGGATGGAATTGCCTGTCAAAGAGATGCAGTCCGTCTAGGAACCGCCTTGTTATATGTCTTCGACAGTGCAGGAGCCTCGTTAAGGCGTGAGAGCTGCATGCCGGGCGCACACGGGAACACACCAGGTAATTACCACTTTCTGCAGAATAGCTCAGCGAGCTACAGAAGACAGATGACCGGATGTCAGCGTGGGCACAAATGCAAGAAGAGAAGGTGCTGCCGAGGTAGCCGAACGGACCGAAGAGTTGATGGAACCCGACTTGCGCAGCAG